TGAATTCAATTTCGATAAGCCAACCATCGCTTTATGTTTCAGTCGCTCGTGTATGAGCTCAAAGTTTTTTATCAGCGATTGTTAGGTGTCCATTTATCCATGAAACTGATTATGTTAATGAAGAAACTTGTGGTATGCATTGCCTTGATGCAGGTCACTATTAAGTATTGTTTGGTCGTTTCTTTTTTTTAGATAGAATGCCGATCACAGCTGTTCATGCTCGTCAAATCTACGATTCACGTGGAAATCCAACAGTGGAGGTAGATTTAACCACTGATAAAGGTTAGATAAGTGTCTTTATTGGGCGATGGTGAACATTACCGAAGCGATAAAATCGCCGAATGTTGATAATGGAAATATTTCTTGAGTTGTGAATTTCTCTTGAGTTGCATGATCCTCATATTTTTTTAAAATCAAATATATCGTTGTGAGACTGTCCAGTTTCGCATATCATATCCGTCATCAGAGTGCTAACATAGGGGAGGTGAGTTTAATTCTGCAAGCATACTATCGCATTTTGGACTTGTCGTAAGAAATAACTTCGTATATACGACTCCTAATCATTCTTAATCATTCTCCCCTTCATGCTTATCTGACTAGCTGCAGGATCCTCATAGGGTACTTGTTTTTGGGTAATTTTGGGATGTCAGCGAGTAGTGAAGGAGATCAACAAATTAGTTCTGATTTTGTGCCNAGGGTACTTGTTTTTGGGTAATTTTGGGATGTCAGCGAGTAGTGAAGGAGATCAACAAATTAGTTCTGATTTTGTGCCTGGAAATAGTAAACTACTATAGCGGGATGTAGGGGTAATGACGGCCTGCCAGACTAACGATTGGTGTAATGAAGCATCCGACTGACTTGTAACTTATCACTGATAATTCATTTGTTTCTATATGCAGGTGTTTTTCGAGCTGCCGTTCCGAGTGGTGCCTCCACAGGAGTGCATGAAGCACTGGAGTTGAGAGATAAGGACAAGGCTGTGCATCATGGAAAGGGTGTTTTGAAGGCTGTGACCAATGTGAATGAAGTGATCGGTCCTGCAATTGTGAAGAAGGCTGGTGATGAGATTAATTAGGATTAGCTGGGATTAGAGTGGTGGTTGGCTACGAGTTCAATAACAATTTGATATTTGGACTTCATTTCAGGCCTATATTTCATGTATTTTTACATCATACTGATTCATTTTCAACTAATATTTCTTTTAAAGGGTTTCTGTCCCACTCAGCAAGCTGAAATCGATAAATTTATGCTCGATTTGGATGGCACCGAGAATAAATGTANTTCTGTCCCACTCAGCAAGCTGAAATCGATAAATTTATGCTCGATTTGGATGGCACCGAGAATAAATGTACGCTGCTTGTGCTCGATTTTACATTCTGTGAATTTTTCGTTTTGCCAGCATTGTCACTCGAATTGTTGAGCCGTTTTGGCTGTGCTGCTAATGTGTGCTGAATGTTGTTCGCCTGAACGACATTCACTGCCATTTTCTGCAGTGCAAAAATGATCATGTTTGGAATTTTTCAAGCAAGTCATGCGCGATAGAGTTGAGGACAAGAAACTGCCTCCTATGCTTTAAGCTGACTTTTATGTTTGATCATTCTCACAGCTAAGCGACTTGGAGCTTTTGGTTACCAAATCATTCGTTTACGGTTTAGGCTACTTGCGAGCGATTTATCTTCGCTGCTTCAACGCAATCGCATTGAATGGTGATTTCATTTCCAATGATTGAATTCAGCGAAATTGGGTGCAAACGCAATACTGGGAGTGTCGATGGCCGTTACGAAAGCTGGTGCTGTGCACAAGGGAATGCCTTTGTACAAGTATATTGCCGAATTGGCTGGTATCTCGAAAATCATTTTGCCTGTGCCCGCAATGAACGTCATCAACGGTGGATCACATGCTGGCAATAAGTTGGCTATGCAGGTGAGTGGATGATCATTTAATGATCATTGTCGGTGTTTTAATAAGACGTTGTCGAGAGCAGCCATCTTAAAATAATGGAAGAAGTATTTGCAAGGTGACTGCAATCATTAAAGGGCGTTAAAATTTGTTGAAAATTGGTGAAAGGTCGGGCGAGCAGTCGAACTCTCTAACCAGTGATTCCCACGATCGGGTGCTGCTCCGTTACTCCCTTCGATGGTTTCCTGATCCCCTTCATTGCCCTTTGACGCACCCGAGTTACCCAAAAATGGGTAAG